GTGTAGAGTAGCACTTGTTGTTTGTCATTTCTCTGATCACAAATGCAGACAGAGTTTTATGTTTACGTGGCGCGATGCAATGCAACGCAACACGTAAAAAGACAGTATAAGTCATTATAATCAGTAATTATGTCCCCACTGGATGCAACAAATGCCTCGTTTGTAATGGGTTTTAATGTTTTGTCTCGTCGCTCCGGCCGGACACGGCATCAACAGTATGTGAGGGGCGTAACATTTCCGTCTCACGCTTGAGGTATTCGGCCAATCACAACGCATTGGATAGCTGGCCAATCACAGCACACCTCGCTTTTTCAGACCGATGAGCTTTGTAAAAATCGACGCATTTCAAAAAGGTGGGGCATAGAGGAGAAACAATAATGTACAGTATGTGGAAAATAATGTGTTTTTTTTACTTTAAACCGCATAAACACATTTCATTGCACCAAATACACAATATAATGTTCTTTTTAGCAGCATCATATGACCCCAGAAATACCAAATTATGTATAATAAGATATTTTAATACTATATTATATCAAAACTATTTATTTTTATATGATTATATATAATTTGAGTATTGCATATTGTTTACTGTTAATATTGTGATATTCACACTTTCATATTCTGACTTCAAGTTGCCATTTTTATAACAGTTATTGTGTTACAATAATATACCTTATTACAGTATTATTATATTAATGGTATATTATCATGACATTGTATATTATGTTGTTTGCTATTTATATTGTAAAATTCACAGACACACACACACATCCATAGTCTGACTTATGATGTCACGATGCATTAGACTTTATTAGCTTGATGTGATTGTCTAGTGGAGTAGAGTGATTCTTTTGAAAGCCTGTCTGATCCAGGCTGATCATCATAGGATCCACTGTTACTCATGAGTGCATGATTAATGTTCAGAAATCATTCTCCCTGCTTGGAAATGTGCTTTAGTCAGCTGCACTCTACTGTATCCAGTGACACTCTGAGTACCCATCATTGTTACTCTCTTATTAGTCTCTGGAGTATTGTGTTGTGGTATTGTGGCTTTTCAGTATGCTACCTGATGAAGTTTAATCACAAGAGACAAAGACAGCTGGAATTTAAAGTCAACCTATCAAAATTGATCTGTTCACTTAATGCACATTCTTGGTCTTGTTAGGTACCATTCATCACTGCTTGTTATTTCATAGAAGGAATTGTATTCAGTCAAATAAAATAAATTTCTCCACCTCTGAAATTATTTTCAATTTAAGCTGATGTCACGTAGGCCACATTTTCAGTTGATTGACTAAAGAAATTTTTTCTGGTACTGAATGGAAATGAAGGTGAACTAGAGCTCCTTGGTCATCACAGTAATTTATTGCCAGGTAAGATGAATATAAGAAAGGTTACAGCAATAATAGCAAATAATGACAGGTTTGAAAAAGTAACGTAACCATTGGGATATTTTGAGATGCTCTCGTGGGTGAACTTGACTTTCAGCTTTCATATGCCTGTCAAAAAGCCTCGCGGGTGCTGGAGGCGTTTCAGAAGAGGACTCGTCCTCCACAATCAAATACAAAGTTATATTAAGGTCTAAAACACTTTTCATAATCCAATCAATTCCCTATAGATAAATACAAGTCCAGACTATATGTTTTGCTGAATATTTTGTTTCATGCCAGATTATGTAAATAAAATGGGTTGTGAATTCAGCATCACATGCCAGGCAGATCAGTAAAAAATGCATTTCAACAAAGCCTTAAAGTAACAGTTCACGTAAAAATTAAAATGTATTCACCCTCAGACAGTTCAAAATGTAGATCAGAACAGATTTGGAGAAATTTAGCATTAAATCACTTGCTCACCAGTGGATCCTCTGCAGTGAATGGGTGCCGTCAGAATGAGAGTCCAAACAGCTGATAAAAACATCACAAGTAATCCACATGACTAACGTCTTATAAAGCAAATTGATCATTAAGAAGTTTTTTAATTAAAAATGTTGCTTCCGGATAAAATACAAGTCCTCTATCCATAAAATTGCTCTCTCCAATCATCTAATCTAAATCCGGAGAGGAATTTGCAGGGATCAAGCACTGTTTACAAGCAAAACCAGTCTAAAACAGTCCTAAACAAATATGTTTGTGGATTCTAATGTGAGAGAACAACAGGGGATGGACATTTTTCACTGGAGGAATCCATTATTATGGATTATGGACTCGTATTTTGGCCAGAAGTGACGTTTTAAAGTTAAATAGCCTTAAAGGGGTCATATGATGTTGCTAAAAAGAACATTATTTTGTGTATTTGGTGTAATGAAATGTGTTTATGCGGTTTAAGGTTAAAAAAACACATTATTTTCCACATACTGTACATTATTGTTTCTCCTCTATGCCCCACCTTTCTGAAATGCGTCGATTTTTACAAAGCTCATCGGTCTGAAAAGCGAGGTGTGCTCTGATTGGCCAGCTATCCAGTGCGTTGTGATTGGCCAAATACCTCAAGCGTGTGACGGAAATGTTACGTCCCTTACCATATTGTGATGCCCTGTCCAAAAATGATGGATTTGTTTCTTACAAACATGCAGTTTTTCACTTCACAAGATGTTAGTCGATGGACTGGAGACGTGTGGATTACTTGTGGATTATTGTTATGTTTTTTATCAGTTGTTTGGACTCTCATTCTGACGGCACCCATTCACTGCAGAGTTTCCATTGGTGAGCAAGTGATGTAATGCTAAATTTCACCAAATCTGTTCCGATGTGGAAACAAATTAATTTACTGTACATCTTGGATGGCCTGATACTGAGTACATTTTCAGCAGATTTTCATTTTTGGGTGAACTCACTATCCCTTTAATAAGGAGTTTCATGAAATGGGCAACATACAAAACTAACTAAATGTGCTGTGTTCTGTTTGTAGGTGTACATCGCTACATTTGCTGTGTCCGGCTATGCTTCCAGTTACTACAGAGCAGGAGGAAAACCCTTTAATCCAGTGTTGGGTGAGACCTACGAGTGTGATCGTCCAGACAAAGGCTTTTGTTTTGTGGCGGAGCAGGTAGGACGCTCTCTGTAAGCTTTAATGTGAGCAGATATGTGAATGTGTGTGTACAGCTCTCACAGCTGCTCTGCTTTCATCCTCCAGGTCAGCCATCACCCCCCCATTTCTGCATGTCATGCCGAATCTAAAAACTTCATCTTTTGGCAAGGTAACGTCACACTAGTAATACCAGGCTTACTGTGTCAGTACAAATCAGCTAATGTCTGCAGATTTGAAGCTGAGTGTGTTATGTGGCTGATTTTAGACGTGAGGTGGAGGAATAAGTTTTGGGGAAAGTCCATGGAGATTGTGCCTGTTGGAACTACACACGTGGTTCTCCCTGGGTAAGATTTAGTCTGTTTATTAAATTCACACACAGGCCAGTCTGCAGTTTTTGGCTCCAGCCGTGTCTCAGTTGTTATCCATCTCAAGCACTAAGGCTCATTGTTTTTACTGCAAAATATAACTACTGCAGTGAAATTTATGAACCAGAAGGCAAATTAATTTAAATATATATTTAATTATACAACTAATGATAACTTATTAATTCATTAATAAGCCCTTAAGGGGGGATGACTTAAAATTATTTATAATAAGACAAAACAAATATTAAATTATATAAATTGTATTTCTTATATATTTTATTTAACCTTTATTTAACCAGAATAATCTCTTTTGAGATTAAAAATCTCTTTCACAGGAGAGTCATGACATATTAATTCACCCCCTCAGTAACTGTGTTGAAAAATCTGGATATATGAGGAAGCTTAATTTTAAAAGTGTGATTTCTAGACCTGGGAAAGTCATGTAAATCGAAAAACTTTACAATTTAAAACTTAAGTGTGAATTAATATACTGAATGAAATTCAATATAAATATTTCTAGTTATGTCAAACTCTATAATATTGTATTTGTTAGAAAATGAGTACAAATATTTTTAAATATCCATATCCTTATCCAGTAAATCACAAACAACTGGAAAGATCATGGGGCCTTGAATATTGTTGTGGACAATGGGGGTCCTTGGAGTCAAAATGGTTGAGCCACTGGTCTGTTGCACATTTGTGACAAGTAGTATGTAGGATTAAAATATTAAAAAGGATGTTTACATACATTAAGTTTGCAGTGAGTGTTGTATTTAGTAAAATATGCATTTTAAATGTTACATTTTGAAATGTTTTTGATTTAATAAGTAATTGATTGTTCTAAATACATGTTACGTGTCAGAAACAGTAACCTGATGTATTGATGGTGCTTTGGAGTCTTTGGCTAGACCTTAGAGGTGAGAACAGATAGTAGTCTGGGTAAATGGTATCTTGAATGATGGCACCGTGCAAATTATAGCAGCAGCTGTGGTTGATCTTGTCAGTGTCCTTGTTCACCCTAAGCAGTGGAGCTGTTATCTTTCCTGGAAACAGCAGACTGGGTCAGCGAGGTGTTGAAGTTGTCAGTGACTCAGCTGCACACATTGTAATGACATATGATGCCAGAATGTCTGTGCCGAGTGGTTTTACATATCCTGTGATTCTTTGAATGGAGCTCAGTGTCCTCCACCAAACTCAGCTTATAATTTAAAGTTATAAAACAATATAGTTTTGGTGATTTACTATCGTTTTGTTTTGGAAATTTGTCTGCAACAAGTATTTGGGGTCCGAACAGTAAATACCATAAAATTAATATTAGTGGAGACTAAATGGATTTTTCAGTAAATGGTGCCATTATCTAGAGTAGGGCAGCTGATGATGTGCACGATAAAGCTGAAATATTTCACGGCACTCTGGAATACTTCATTCTGATTGGTTAATTATGACATTCTGAGTTCTAATAACCTTTGCATAATGACTTCTGAACTGTATAATTGACATTTGTTGTCCCAGGGATCTGATTTCTTAAATAGATGTGCCAGTTTCACATCTCTCATATCATTCCAAGGTCTCTTCTTTCTCATATAATAAAATAAGTTCACTCAAATCAATATTTCATTCCCAATTATTTATTTACAAATAGCCATATAAGAGGAAAATGTACAGTCAGCTGGTCATTAATTCAAATATTCTGGGTTATCTTAGACTCCACCAGTTCTGCTGGGGGTCCTGATCACCTTTTCAGGGTTAGGCCAGAAACATACTTAAAGCAAGTCACCAAAGCTGGAATTTGATCAAAAATATGTAGTAAATGTAGTAATATTGTGTAATATTATTACAATTTAAAATACCTTTTTCTATTTTAATATATTTTAAAAATGGAATTTATTCCTGTGATGCAAAGCTGAATTTTCAGCATCATTACTCCAGTCTTCAGTGTCACATGATCCTTCAGAAATCATTATGCTGATTTGCTGCTCAAGAAACATTTCTGATTATCATCGTCAATATTGAAAACAGTTGTGCTGCTTAATATTTTTGTGGAAACTGGTTTCCTTTAGGTTTTTTTTTTTTGATAGAAAGTTAACTTTTTGGTGTAACAATGTAAACACCTTTATTTTAATTTTTGAATGCATCTTTGCTGAATAAAAGTTTATTTTAAAAACAATTTTACTGACCCAAAACTTTTGAACAGTAGCGTAAATACCTTAAATATAAATGCAATATATTTTGGCCAATGATACATAAAAAAATTGCTGCTATTGTTTACTTAAAATCCACTATTTAAAAAAAAATTGCTTAATTTATAGACGTACAGAAGTTAACTAACACTAATAACTAAGCCTTCTGTTGTGCTAATCAGATAACCTAGCATGGTTATCATCCAGTAATCTCAGAATTACAAAATATCGGCCTGGGCTGTGTCTTCCAAAAGAAAATATGGTCGCAAGTTTCGTCGTTACCAATAGATTTCAATGGAACTAACTACCATAGTTAGCTAACGATGCTTTTGGAAAACGCACCCCTGACTGGTACTAGTGAATGTGCATTTACAGTAGGTCTAGACACACACTCACACTTTCCTCTCACCTTCAGCTTTGGAGATCACTATGAATGGAATAAAGTAACAGCATGTATTCACAACATTCTGAGTGGGCAGCGCTGGATCGAGCACTACGGCGAAATCTCCATAAAAAACTCCAACAGTGAAAAATGCCAGTGTAAAGTCACCTTCATCAAGGTCAGCTCCCTGTGCTTTTTGTCCATTTTGAGAAAAAACTTTCTGAAATGTTTTATTTTCTGCTATACTTAAAGCAGCACTATGTAACTTTTTCTGTGTTCAAAATTTGCTAAATGTATATAATGAGCGAGTACATCATGAATTCATCTTCCAAACCGCATTTTTGTCTTATTCCGAATAATAAGTACTTATATTTGGACTATTGTAGCCTGGTCGGATCATCACCGCTGCGGAAGTAAAACATACCTGCGTGAATCGCCATAGACATAAACTTAGAGAAGTAGCTCCGTTTGGAATGTTCTTCCGCGGGATGTGTGCAGTTCTGTTTATTAACCGCTAGAGCGCCAAAAGTTACATAGTGCTGCTTTAAAGGGGTCATATGATGCTTTTTTAAAGATCATTATTCTGTGTATTTGGTGTAACAGAATATGTTGACATGCTTTAATGTTCAAAAAACAATTTTTTTTTCAAATACTGTACATTATTATAGGTCCTCTATGCCCCGCCTCTCTCAAACGCTTAATTTTCTACAAAGTCCCTCCTTCCGACAAGCGTAGTCTGCTCTGATTGGCCAGCTGACCCAGTGCATTGTGATTGGCCGAACACCGCAAGCACGCATCGGAAATGTAACGCCCCTTTCACTAATAGCGAGATTCATCTTTCAAAATAAATGCAAAGACAGAGCCCGAAAGGGGAACAGAGTCGCGTGACAGACACAGTGATGAAGCTGGTATGTGTTTGCAGTACACAAGCCATGGTTAAGACAGCTGACTCCACTGTGATGTGTCTCGCTCTCTCTCTCTCTCTCGCGCTCTCTCGCTCTCGCACTCTCTCTCTCGCTCGCGCACACACACACACACACACACGATGCGCAAAACTCCGCATTTGAACAGTCAATAGCAAATACTTAAACTAATAACAAAACAGTAGCTGATTCAGAAGCGCCAGATTGTCATAGCAAAGTCAGAATTACCTCCTCTCCTAAGTTCACGAAACGGTCGTCCATAAAATGCATTGCTGTTCTGTTGTAAGTAATCTTAAAGATTCCTAAATGCATCTACTTTCGGAAGGCCAAATAAAGTGCTTTTGCTTTTGCCACTCCACACAGCGTCTCTCTCACATGGCTGCTTCAACACTAACTGCGGTTACTGAAACCATGCCTTCTTTCTTTGCGTGAACATTTGGGCGGCATTATGCAAATATTTCCACATAGTGAGGTAGATATGTGGGGGCGTGTTAGAACGAGACGTTTTAGGGGGGCATGGCAGAGTTTTAACTTTGATAAAGAATATATCTTTGGTTTTGAGACTTTAGTCTTTGCAACTTCAGGGATCTTATCTATGCACAATTTAAGGTTTCTTTAAACAGATGTATTGGACCAGTTGTTATATGCCAAGTTTCACCATCTAACATCCTTCACACGTGTTGGTCACACGTGACCTAAAACTTGTCAGTCAACTCTTCCTGGCCTTTCAGAGAGCACCACATTCTTTAGCATCTAATGAGGGATCTGTGTGGCACAGTTGAGATAATTGACAGCAGACTTCAAGAACAATGGGTCAGGCTTTTCTAAGGGGTGAAGAAAAGACAGAAAGAGATCAGACAGAGGAGATCAATTAAGGCAAAGGAGAGCAAGAATAAAACAAGAAATGGGACAGAATGAGATTCTACAAAAGTCAGATACTTATTCATGGTTCTTCACCACTGAGATTCATTAAGCTTACTGACTGACTCAAGTATGACATCTGCTGGAGATCTCCATCTGACCTTGCTGTTAAATAGCAAAGTTCATTATAACGCCACATTAGTGATACCTTGATGGTGAATTAATTCTGTGTATTTTAACTCGTTTGTTCAGTATCACTGTAATTAACCCAGGTGGTCTCCTTTAAATACTGTATGTACACACTTCTTTGTTCAGGAGTGCTCAGATCAAACATGTCTGTGTCCTTCATAGGCAAAGTACTGGAACTCCAGCATGAATGAGGTGGAGGGAGCTGTCACAGATCACAAAGGGAAAGTCGTGCACAAGCTGTTTGGGAAATGGCACGAGGGGATGTACTGCGGCAGCCCACCCTCTGCTACCTGCATCTGGAGGATGAGTAGGAATCAACACACACACACACAGTCTGCCCTCTTTTTTACATGTGCCACATTTGTCTGGTGCCCTCTGGCTGATGTATTTCCCAGACGATACAGTTGCTAGTGTTTAGTATTCCTTTATTCATTTGGCTAATATTTCAGAATGTATTTAAATGAAAACAGTTTATCATCAACTTTTATTTGTGTATGTTTATGTGTACAGATCCCATGCCTCCTGACTATGAGCAGTACTACGGTTTCACTAAGTTTGCTATGGAGCTCAATGAGCTCGACCCTCTTACCAAACCACTTCTTCCACCCACAGACACCAGACTACGGCTCGACCAGAGGTAAAAACTTACATGTGTAAACGTATATAATTTTGAATAATCCTAATTAATTTTACTTTTTGCTTTTTATGCATAATATATTACAAAAGTTGAAAATGAAAATGCTGCTAATAGCAATTTTTAAATGATACCAGGCAACTTTGGCCTTAATAAATTTCAAATAAACTAAAATTAACAATGATAGAATAAATGAAAGCTTTATTAAATAAAAACAAATATAGAAATATCCAATGGGCAGTAGATCAAGGTTATTTTAATATAATTTATATACTATTATAGTATTTATTAATATTTCTAATGTTTTATCATTTTTTATTTTTCAAGTTTTTTATCTTTTATCTTTTATTTTTATATTTTCATTTTAGTTTAAAGGGGTCATATGATGCGATTTCAATTTTTCCTTTCTCTTTGGAGTGTTACAAGCTCTTGGTGCATAAAGAAGATCTGTAAAGTTACAAAGACTAAAGTCTCAAATCCAAAGAGATATTCTTTATAAAAATTAAGAGTCAACCACGCCTACCTAAAATGGCTCGTTCTAACACGCCCCCACATATCTACCTCACTATGTGGAAATATTAGCATAATGCCGCCCAAATGTGCACGCAAAGAAAGAAGGCGTGGTTTCAGGAACAGCAGTAGTGTTGATGCAACCATGTCAGGGAGACGCTGTGTGATTCTGTGCGAAAGCAAAAGCACTTTATTTACAATATCGTAAATAAACTCATTTGGTCACCCATTTTGAATTATTCTTGTGTATTGTCACTGGAAAATGACACACGGCATCATAAGGTAATTGCTTATTCGCTATTTACTGTTACTTCAAGTATACTTAATACAGTGTAAGTTTTACTGTGTCCTGACAGTGTATTTATTTATTTCTTTAATCTTTTTTGGTGTCTTCTATTTTTCTTTAATCAACATTTCCTTTAATGTTTGTTGTTTCACTGTAAATTCAGTCAGTGAAGATGGGAGAGGTGATAACGCTCTTTGAACCAGAGTTGGACATTAGACATGCATCTGTAATTTAGTTATAACAAATAAGGTGTCAGAAATATGGACTGTCTGTGTTATGTTTTTCTCCCCATGTGCCTTCCATGACCTAGTTTTCCCTCGTTTGTGACCCATATTTGGTTTCCTTCCTGTTCCTGTTCCTATTGTGTTTCATTGAGTCCACGCGTGTCTCATCATCCCCTCGTTTAGATGAAGTAGATGCAATTAGGAATCATTGTTTAAGATTTATTTACAACAGAACAGCACAACCCAGATGTTCAAATTTGTGCAACGCATTTTATGGACGACAGTTTTTTGAACCTAAAAGAGTACAAGGCTGGCTGTGCACAAAGGCTATTTCAAAGAAAGGTAAATTCTGATTTTGCTATGACAATCTTGTGCTTCTGAATCAGCGACTGTAAGTATGTTTTGTTATTAGTTTAAGTATTTGCTATTTACTGTTCAAATGCATGTACAGTATTTGAAAAATAATGTGTTTTTTGAACATTAAAGCATGTCAACATAAAATAATGATCTTTAAAATAGCATCATATGACCCCTTTAAGGTTTGGTAATTTGCTATGTGCTTATGTCATTTTATTAGTTTTTGTTTTTCAAAATATTTCTATTTAGCTTTCATTTTATTTTTAGTTTTAGTAATTTTAGTACTTACATTTTTAAAACATTTCTAAATTTCATGAAATGTTTGTTAATTTCATCATCTGATATTTATATTTCATTCTATTTCTTTCTTTTTTCAATTAATAAAAATAATTGCAATAGTTTTAATATTAGTTTTAATTAACAATATTGCAGCAGATAATATCAATGCCAAAGAAACAATTATCAATACTTTGAAGTTTCAGTATTTTAGAAGAAACTGAAATGGGATTATTAAGCATCATTGTTTAAAAACATTAAAATAAAGTCATGTTATGCAAGGACAAAATGAATTTCATATGAGACTGTTTGTGTGTGCAGGTTATTGGAGGAAGGGAACATTGAATCTGCGGAGGTGCAGAAGCAGAGGATCGAACAGCTGCAGCGAGAGAGACGCAGAGTCCTGGAGGACAACCACATGTTACATCAACCTCGATTCTTCCAGTATGAACGAACTACCCTACTTCTTGTCTTTTTAAGAAAAATACATTGCATGACCAAATCCAGTTAGTTGTTAAAACGATTTTCTGCTTAATCACCAACAGAAAGTCCAGAGATGACACCTGGGTGAGCAACAACACTTACTGGGAGTTAAGGAAAGATCCTGGATTCAGTAACTTTGACTGTCCGGTCCTCTGGTAACCCAGAGGCAGCCAATATACAGCTGTGCTCACTGTTGCCTGCTCTTAACTGTTCCACCTTCCAGAGACAACACACATCTTGTGAGGTAGAGACTGATACAGCTGTGAGAGACCGGTGGCTGCAGAATTACAATCTGATCGTTTCAAATCATTCCTTAATATTTATTATTTAATGTCCCAGCAGTTCATTGCCTTAATATGCTTACATTATGTTGTAGTGTCATTTATGCAAATGGATCCATTGGAAGTATGAGAAATATGCAATCCTGCCCAGTAATTATTTTTTTTGGCTGATGTGCATAGTAAGTAGCACAAGAAACCAAGAGAAAAACTGTTGGATTGTGTCTAAACTGTTGGCTAAACGTAGTACTGCAGGTGATCGCACCTTTAAAAAGATGGATAGTATGTTGTCAGAACAAAACTGCGTTGTCTACCTCTTAAAATCAAAATGTCGAGGAATTTATGATGTATATTAGACTATGAATATAATCCATATAATGCCTTATATAAAATTATATACATAAACTTTGCTAGAACTTTTAATCAAGTCCAATGTATCGTCACAAAGTATTGTAATTTTATGACCGCCTTTTACTCTGAGACACTTGAATGAACAAAATGTTTGAGGTTCTCAGAAATATTTATATATACATCTTAACTTATTCACAAGACTGACAGATGACTCAACAATACTGAACATGACCATCACACACGTGAGCCTGCCAGTGTTTGAAAGCTTCTGCCTCACAGTTTGACCTGTAACCTGTGCTCAGTTCACTACGACGAATGATGTTGGGGGACTGGGGGACTTGCGTGTTGATCGCTGCAGCGTTTCCTCTGTCCTTCAATAAAGTCTCATTTTAAAGATGGTTCTTTGATTGTTTTTATTTCAGATCTACACTCTTAAAATTGAAGGTTCTTTATTGGCGTCTGTGGTTCCGTGAGGAACCTTTTACGTACATGGTTCTTAAAATGTCGACTAAAAGATTGGGGAACCAAAAATGGTTCTTCTGTGGCATCCTTTGGAACCTTTTTAATAGGGTATATCTGTGAAGTTTGGTAGTGCAAGCATTCACGTCTAGTTTTGGGCAGTGTAGAGTAGCACTTGTTGTTTGTCATTTCTCCGAACACAAATGCAGACATGGTTTTATGTTTACGTGGCGCGATGCAACGCTACGCGTAAAAAGACAGTATAAGTCATTATAATCCGTAATTATGTCCCCACTGGATGCAACAAATGCCTCGTTTGTAATGGGTTTTAATGTTTTTGTCTCGTGGCTCCGGCCGGGACACGGCATCACAATATGGTAAGGGGCGTAACATTTCCGTCACACGCTTGAGGTATTTGGCCAATCACAACGCATTGGATAGCTGGCCAATCACAGCACACCTCACTTTTCAGACCGATGAGCTTTGTAAAAATCGACAGGTTTCAGAAAGGCGGGGCATAGAGGAGAAACAATAATGTACAGTATGTGGAAAATAATGTGTTTTTTAACCTTAAACCGCATAAACACATTTCATTACACCAAATACACAAAATAATATTCTTTTTAGCAACATCATATGACCCCTTTAAATATGAATGTGTGTATATATATATGCTGTTAGCTGATCTTTAGAGTGCTTTTATGACCCACTTAAGTAGGACTTAAGCTGGCCAATCACAGCACACCTCACTTTTCAGACCGATGAGCTTTGTAAAAATCGACAGGTTTCAGAAAGGCGGGGCATAGAGGAGAAACAATAATGTACAGTATGTGGAAAATAATGTGTTTTTTAACCTTAAACCGCATAAACACATTTCATTACACTAAATACACAAAATAATATTCTTTTTAGCAACATCATATGACCCCTTTAAATATGAATGTGTGTATATATACATGCAGTTAGCTGATCTTTAGAGTGCTTTTATGACCCACATAAGTAGGACTTACTACATCTTTATTTGTGATTTCATAATTCTGTTGTCTTCGAAATAGATTAACAGTAAACTAAAATATACTTTAATATAATTTCTATTGAGACTTGTCATGTTTTTAAATATATTTGTAATTACACATTTGTAATGATGAAGTTGCAGTTTATTACAAAAGTGCAATTAGTAAAATATCTTAACTTTAAATGTAATATTGAATAAAACACTACAGCTGATATTATAAAGTACATGCGATTTAATGTTAGTCAACACATAAAACAGCACAACAAAAGATATTAAAGTGATGATTTAAAATGTACTTTAAAATAAAACATTTTATATTATTACAAAGTGTGCTTTAAAATAGTACTTAAGTGTGCTAAAGTCCCCCTGTAGTCAAATATTTTATACCTTAAAACTTATCTTTGAACATCAAAATTACATATTGAAATGTTTTTTCTTGTGAAAATAATTTTCTCATGCCTTAAAAATGCTTGAATGCAACTCTACACCCTTGCCTCATTTACTATATGCTGATCTATGAATATGCAAATTAGTCCCGCCTCCACTCAGTCACACCAGCCAGCGCCTCCTGATCCACTGAACTGTAGTAAACGCAAAACACTGGCATACACGGATAATGACTGATAAAACGATCTTTTTACTAGCGGACAACTACAGTGAATACTGTAACATTCTTTAAAGTTACTTACTTGACGATGTTGTGTCCTAAAATGCTTTGAAGACTCGAATGCAGCCGTTTGTGATTGTTAATTCGCGCCCGCGCATACGCGTGTGAAATGCAGATGCAGCTGCGGGAGAGGTGTGTCTGACTCCGGGCTACTTTTACACTGTTGCC